GTGATTTTGTCAAGTCGAGTCTCAAGTCATCAAATTGGTGACTCGAGTCTGACTCGAGTCCAAGTCATGTGACTCGAGTCCACACCTCTGGTATGTGTATTCACTCTCTGTCCTAAACGGCTTGTTGGAGCTCCTGCCCCCCCTCCCTATGAGCCCAGTGGCCGTCTGCGAGACAGCGAGACCAGGCCGAAACCAGCCCGAACACACACCCGCAGCCTGGCTGGGAGTTTGTGTGTGTGCTGAGTGACACCGACTAACAGCCTCGCCGCGTCCCGCTGTCTCAGGGAGGAGGAATCGGCGGAGCTGCAGCTGAGAAAAGATTGAGTGTGTGTGTGTGAGGAAGTCCGCGGACGTAACATAACGGCTCCACGGATTGGTCCATTTGGGTATGGGCACGTCACTGTACCCAGGAAGAAAAAGAGAAATCTCCAACAAGGCGTTCTGGGGCAGCATAGACAGGTCTTTTCTGTGTTAGAGTTTTACTCCCTACAGGGTGTACTTTGAGGGTTTTTGACTCTGCAGACCGTTTACATGCAGAAAAACCTTCATAACACACAAGGGGACGGGTAATAACCGGAAAAGCATGACATGGGACCTTTAAAGGGATTTTAAATTGCGCCCTGCTGCATTCTGAAGTTGGTTCTGGCTTAAAGAAGACACAGAGGAGTAGAAATCTGTTTAATTCAGACAGCATTCAGAATCTGTTTTCACCAGACGTCATTGAAGGGTAAAGTGAGGAGAAGCTTGAAGAGCAGCTGCTAATACAAAAATTAAATCATGACATTTTGAGGGAAGAGTAACAAGCTGAAAACATCTGACATGCTGTAATGCACCTCATCAAACTATTGACACATCACATTAGCATCCATTTGCAGTGATGTTGAATGAATGTCATATTCTCTCTCAGCTCTGTTTTGGTCTTCATACCTTGGCTTAGAAAATAAAGAAATTGTTGCTTTATGAGTAACAAGGTTATGTCCTTTCATTGTGATTTGAGTTAAAGTCTTGTTCCTGGAGAGTGATGTGTGTGTGGTAGTACAAGTCAGATGTGTCTATCAGCGGATGTTTCCGCTGATACACACCTCAAACTCTTTGTTTTGGAAATGTCTCTCCACCAGCTTCTGCGGGGGGTGACCATATCAAGCGGAGGGGTTCTGCCTCGCATCCACCCAGAGCTGCTCTCCAAGAAGAGGGGGGGCCGGGTGAGGGTGGACAGCCAGGCGTCCGTCCCTGAGAAGCAGGAAGAACGCCCAAAGAGCAAGAAACCCGTCAAACCCCTCAAAAAGGTTAAAGGCAAACGAGGCCGCAAGCCAAAGGTCAGTCAAGGGAACAGAGTGGAAAAATAATATTTTTCAGTAGTTGAATTTCACACCGTTTGCTTCAGAAAACTGAGATATAAAGCTCCAGAAAGAGCTTGTATGTGGACCTTGTGTTAGGGTCACATATGTAATCTTTATTTCATTCAACCCAATATGCCAAACAAGCTCAATGTTTTTGTGTCAAAAAACTGTCATGATCAAATGAGCTAAAGCTAGGAACACTGAGACTCAAGAAATACTGCATATCAGGAGAAAGATTAGGTGAATAAAGAGTATGGTACTGAGGTTTATACTCTGTACACTCTTACTGTTACCTTATACAATAGAATATATTTTTTCCATGTGCACAGAGCACAGAGAACGAGTCTGTACCAAACTCCACGGTGGAGGACGGTCCTGGAGACGGGTTCACCATCCTGTCAGCAAAGAGCCTGTTCCTGGGACAGAAGGTAAGGGACTGAAGCTGCTGATGCATCAACCTCTAGTCTACTTCCAGTGTAAATATGAGATCACGAGAGCCAAATCAGTGTCATTTAGACTCAGTCAGAAACTCAGCAGCTGTTTCTCTGTTGATGAAATTGTGTTTCCACAGCTGTCACTCACAGAGAGTGAAATCAGTAAAATCGGAACAATCAAAGTGGAGGGGATAATCAACCCGACAAACGCAGAGATGGACATGAAAGACGGAGTGGGTAAGGAGACATGTTCACTTGTACTTCATTTCTTATTAAGTCCCCCCAGTCTGGTGTTCACCTGCTGCTGTCCTGTTCCAGGCACCGCCCTAGAGAAGGCTGGGGGCCGAGAGTTCCTGGACGGGGTCAAGGAGCTGCGCAAGGGACACGGGCCCCTGGAGGTGGCTTCAGGTACTGCACTCATGGGACACTGCTGTGCAGTTGAGGCTTTTTTAATGTAGAGATATAACCACACGACAGAATGCAGAGAGATGTGCCCCCCCTCTCCCTCTGTACTCAGACTCGTCTCTCTCCAACCTAGACCCCAGAAGGTTTAAGTAGATCTGGGTCTGTGTGGTTACTGTTTGAACTTTAAACACTTGAATGAGTCCAGCACTTTTGAAGCTACAGCTGTTCACCACATCCACCTGAGTCTGGACCTCAGGCTAAAAAAGTTTTCTCTTTAAGCCCTGCTGCCAGAAATCTGAAAAAAACATCGGAGTGTCAACGAAGTCATATTGTTTTACCTCAAAGTAAATTCACCCTAAATCTGTGAGCCCTTCATACCATTTTATTTACAGTGAGCTTTTTATCTTCATATTTTATTTTGGTAATTTATTCAAACTAGATTGAAATACATGTTTTTATTCTAAAGAAAGGTACACTGTCTGATGACTTGAAGCCCTTCTGGGCCTTCTGTCATAAAAACATCTTAAAGCTAAGATCATTTTAAAAGCTTACCTTAGTTAAGAATTCATTGATAACAAATATTTAATTCAGTTTCATGGCTTTGAGAAACAAAACTAAAGAAGACTGATAACTTAAGATAGTTTAGAAAAAATATGTTAGACTAACAAGTGCCTTATGTTCTTTGTTAAGTGAAATAAAATAAACAATAATGTGTCAATTAGGCAAGGGTAACATCATTTTAAACTAACAAACAAATAAATGATCAAACCGTTTGTGTTATCGTAACACGAACTTCCTCTCCTGCAGCGTCTCATCAGCTCCCTGTCACTCAGCGAGAGGGAAAAGATCAGACAAACATTTACAACAACTGTGACACCAGAGTATTTATATATTACGAGAGGGCTATGAATTAAAGAGGTTGTGTTATGGTTAAAGTGTGAAACAGTCAGATTCAGTGTGTGTGTGTGTGTGTGTGTGTGTGTGTGTGTGTGTGTGTGTGTGTGTGTGTGTGTGTGTGTGTGTGTGTGTGTGTGTGTGTGTGTTTGTGTGT